AAGTACTGTAAAGAATTAGAAGACAACAGGCCAGGGTGCAGATGGGACAGTTACTTCACCCAGCCCCGGGGTGGTCAGAGGCTTCTCAGAAGAGGGACCCGAGCTTCCTGCTGGTGGACAAAGGGACGGTGGGGACCAGGTAAAGGGCTGTGGGCCGTGGGCTGTGCTGCGCTAGAGATCGTGAGCCGTGGGAAAGCAGCCTGCAGGAGGAGGAGGAGGTCAGCGGGGCAAGGAGGAGGAGGAGTAGAGCGGGTAATGTGGCTTGATTAGGGAAGATTTGTAAACTGCTACCTTTTTTTTTTTTTTTTTTTTGCAGAACCGGGGATTGAACTCAGACCCTTGCACTTGCCAGGGAAACACTTATTCTACTAAGCCATCTCCCCGACCCCACTGCTACCTATTGTTAACAGCGCCCGTGGGTGGATGGGGGGATGGTGAGAATGGTTTTAAAAGAAGAATCACCAACCTGTCCAGAGGGACAGAATTCAAGGCTTTACTTTCTAAGATTCCATTTCTATCCTAGGTCCTGGGCCAGCTCTGGATGATGGAGGCGAGTCCCAGTGCCTTCTGCGAAGCTCCCTGCTGCACATGGCACGGCCTTCTGTTGTTCTGTGGTCACCCATAGTGACCAAACTCCTCTCTTGGCAGCCTCTCTCCTTCCTGTGTCCAACTTGAGAATGCACCAGCAAGGCCTCTAAACACAACCGCTGCACCAGCTCCATGAAGGAGGGTACTGCACAGCTGAGAAAAGAATTATTGCTGGGTGTGGTGGTGCATGCCTATAATCCCAGCGTTCAGGAGGCTGAGGCAGAAGGATTGATGTGAGTTCGAGACCAGCCTGAACTGTGTAGTGTGACTCTGTCTTACAAAAAAAGACTCAGGCCGGGGAGATGGCTCAGTGGAATAAGCGCTTCCCTGGCAAGGGCAAGGGCCTGAGTTCAATCCCTGGTTCCACCAAAACAACAACAACAACAAAACAACAACAAACACACACACACACACACACACACACACACACACACACACGAGAAAGAAAGAATTATTGGCCATTTGTACTTTTTTTCTGAGAAGTATCCATTTCAGTTCCCTACTTTTTTTTTCCCCCGGTACCAGGGATCAAACTCAGGACCTAGCACTTGCCAGGCAGGTGCTTAAGCTGCTGAGCTGTATCCCTGGCCCCAACAATATTAGTACAAATCTTTTTTAAAAATTTTTTGTTTTAGGGAAGGGTCTACAGGGTGTTCTGGGTTTCACTACTAGATCGGACTCGTAGTGATCTACCTGTTTACAGCCTCCCAAGAGCTGGGATTATAGGTGCGTGCCACCATCAGTTGCCTACTTTTTATTTATTTATTTATTTATTTATTTATTTATTTATTTTTAGTTGCCTACTTTTTGATTGGGTCTTGACTGCTTTAAAATTTTCAAACTGGGGATTGAACTCACGGCCTTGTGCTTGCTAGGCAAGTGCTTATTCCTCTGAGCCATCTTCCCGGGCCCTCAAAATTCTTAATTAAGTTGTTGTTATCATAAAAGCATTTCCCATCATGCACATTCTTTTTCTCCTAATGCCAAATTAATTAAGTTTTTCCTGTGTATTGTTTGGATCTTTAAAAAATTAATTTCAGGAGCAGGGGTATAGCTCAGTGGTAGTGCTTGCCCAGTATGCACGAAGCTCTGGATTCAATCCTCACTCCAGGAAGCTTCCAACTTGTAAATGATTCCATTCTGGGAGAATGTTTGTAAGTTGGGTTCCTTCATAAGCCTGTAAGTCCAACACTGAGTTTCACACACCCTTTTTTTTTTAATTTTTTAAAATTTATTTATGTGTGTGTGTGTGTGTGTGTGTGTGTGTGTGTGTGTCCAGCTCAGCCCACCAGGGGGCGGGGCTGGCTGGCATGTGGTGCTGGGGGATTGAACCGCGGTCCCTCTGCTTTGCCAAGCTTGTTCTAAGTAGGTGCTTTAGACCACTGAGCCATCTCACCAGCCCCTCACACACCCTTGACATGGATATGTAATTTTTTTTTTTTTTTTTTTTTAGGAACTGGGGATTGAACTCAGGCCCTTGCGCTTGCCAGGGAAGCGCTTATTCTACTGAGCCATTTTCCTGGCCCCTGGATATATAATGTATATGCTCTATGCTTCCTAGTAGTCCCCTCCACATCACTACTGCTTTTCCTCTTGCTTCTGGACATCCTGGGCTCTGAGCACTGTAGGACTGCACATTTAGTGCACAACAGCACAACTGTGACTGTGTCCACATGAGCTACTCCTGCAATTTGGAGACATTTATGAATGTTCCTAAGGTGAGGTCCATTTGTATCTGTGAAAGTTTTGGACTCAAGTAAGTTGCAGACTTACTATTCCACACACAAAAAGTTGGTGAGTATTTGACTCAGCGAGAGTGCTTGCCTAGCATATGCAAGGCCCAGGACTTGACACCCCAGCACTGCAAAATAGCAAAACTACTAGGAAGCCGACTGAGGGGTGGTGGCATCGTTAGTAGGCGGGGCCAGTGGTCATTTGGGCGTGTTCTTGGATGTTGGGACCACGCCCCTTTCTGCTTCTTTTGCTTCCTGGCCGCTGGGAGTTTTCTCTGCCACCGTGTTCACACAGTGACATCCTGCCTCGCCACAAGTCCCAAAAGCAACAGAGCCAACTGGTCATGGACTGAAGTCTTTTTAAGATTTCTCTTTGAGGCCGGGGAGATGGCTCAGTAGAATAAGTGCTTCCCTGGCAAGCGCAAGGGCCTGAGTTCAATCCCGGGTTCCGCAAA